CACCCAGGGGAGGCCGGTCTGCTGGGCTCAGAGGGGTCCAACCACTGAGTCAGGATTTGCCATCGGTCCGGCCGGTATGGCTCAGGGGCTGAGCGTCAACCTAGGAACCAGGAGGTCAGGGTTCGATTCCCGGTCAGGGCACAGGCCCCCGGGTTGTGGGCTCCATCCCCAGTGCAGGGCGTGCAGGAGGCAGCCGGTCCATGATTCTCTCTCATCATGGATGTTTCTGCCTCCCTCTCCCTTCCTCTCTGAAATCAATAAAAAATATATTTTTAAAAAAAAAATAAAAAGAAATCAAGGCCCGGGACTCCGTGTCCCGGTGAGTGGACGGCACTGTTCCTACTCGGGCATCACCCCCGTCGGCGGACAGCTCTGCCCCAGCCAGGCCCTGCCAGCACCCAGGACCCTCAGCGTCCGGCCGTAAATGGCGTTTGTTTGTTTGTTTGTTTTGCTAATCCTCACCCGAGGGTATTTTTCCGTTGATTTTTAGAGAGCGTGGAAGGGGGGAGGGGGGAGACACAGAGAGACACATCGACGGGAGAGAGACGCATCGATTGGTTGCCTCAACCAGGGCCTGGGATCGGCCTTGCAACCCAAGTGGGTGCCCTTGGCCGGAATCGAACCCGGAACCTTGTAGCCCGCAGGCCTACGCTCCACCCACTGAGCCGCACCGGCCAGGGTGACCTTCTAGTGTTGGAACTCACTGCACACCCGTTAGAACGACACACCGATCGGAATGGAAGGAGCCCCCATCTTAGAAATACTTTCTTCTGCAGGCGTAAATGTTCATGTGAAATTACAGCAGCTCGGACCTGCAGTGAACGGCCGCCTCCCGCCCACTACCTGTGTCCTTAAATAAACCGCATCCCCCCCGCCCCCCATCAAACCAGGGGCCGGCCCCCTTTCAGAGTTTGTGCCAATCGGACCCATTTCGGGCAGCTCCCCGTCCCCGCGTCCCGGGCCTCCCTCCCCTGAGGGAATCGCGTCTCCGTCGGTCTGACTTCCCAGGCACTCACATTTTTTCGTTTAGTGTGTCCACCCCGGGACCCCCGTCTTTGCAGCGAATGGACCCATTTCCAGAGCCCAGTCTCTGGCTTGGCCTCCCGCCCTC